AATACAAATATACTTAAAAAAAGAAAGAAAATAGTTACAATGGTAATGATTAAGGAAGGTTTTCAAAAGACCTTTTCTGGGAATGGATTTCCTAGCCAATCTCTTCCCAAACCATCCCCTATAAACAGGATTCAGCACTAAACTTCAAAGCTGAGTGGTATCCAAAACAAAACTGGATCTGAGGGCAACACGGCCAGGAAAAGCCTTCATTATGGTCAGAAATGAAATTGCAAAGGTTTGGGGTCCAGGTAGTTTGTGTTTCAGCTGAAATACCAGCTACAAATACCTGCTTTAAAGATTTTCAAACTTAGTGGTTTGATTTCTTAGTGTCTTTTCGGTGGTTTAACTTCATTTCGAATGAGATATTAGACTGTTGTTAACATAAAACACTGAAACCTGTAAAGAATTTTGTGAGTTTATTTGAGCCAAACTGTTGACAATTGCTAGGAAGCAGAATCTCAATATATTGGGATAATGATCCAGAGAAGGGCGGTTTTTCACCTCGTTTTATACATTACAATCAAAGGAGATGTGAGTGGATTATATGAAATATAAGTGATAGATTAGGGAGGTGAGAGAAAGCAACGAGGGACAGTGGGGGAAGAGGGAACTTCTGGGAATGGATAAAAATAAAGTAATAGACACATATTTATTTTACTTAGGTGAGAAAAGGATAGTTAACAGTCAACAATTAACAATGATAACAGGATAACAATGAGGGAATTTTTGGTTTTTGCCCTGGCAGCCTGATGCATTTGGTTGTGCCCTGAGGGTCTGGAAAAAGGAAAGTTACAAGTTATCCTAACATTTTACAGGGATGTTATATATATATATATATATATATATATATATATATATATATATATATAATCTATTTTATTGATTTTTTACAGAGAGGAAGGGAGAGAAATAGAGAGTTAGAAACATCGATGAGAGAGAATCATCGATCAGCTACCTCCTGCCTGCCCCCAACTGGGGATGTGCCCGCAACCAAGGTACATGCCCTTGACTGGAATCTAACCCGGGACCTTTCAATCCACAGGCCGAGGCTCTATCCACTGAGTCAAACCGGTTTCGGCAGGGATGTTATCTTAGATGCAAAAGACAATAGATAGGCTCTGTCTGATCAAAGTTGATTTTTGTCAAGGAAGATACTGGCCTAGGACTTGACTACCCACTATAACTGCTTTTTAATGAAAGGTTTTTAATTTCAGACCATCTTTTGTGGTTACGTTAGGTCTCCTGAGTTTGCAAGGCTGCCACGCAGGCCTCCTGGCCTTCCCTGAGTTCATCAGGTTAGCAGGTGGCCCTTTTTGTCCACACTGGGAACCACATTGAGAGAGAATCCCTTGGACCACTTCACCTCAAAGCTTTGTTTGCAACCACACCACACACACCCCCCACACACCCACACACATCACACACACACATCATACACCACACACACACACACACCATCACACACACCACACACCACACACATCATGCACCACACACACACACACACACCACCACCACACACACACACACTCACACACACACATACACACAGCACACACCACACACACACACACACACACACACAAACTCACAGATACATGCCACACACACATCACACACACACACACACACACACACACACACACACACACACACACACCATTTGAAGTGTTTGGTCTAGCACACGATTATCTTTCTGACTGTAATTTTCAAATATCTATGCCCTCTATGGAGAACTCAAAACTCTAACAGAAAATACCCCTTGAACCAACTTCTTCCTTGTGTTTGGGAAACCGGGTCACCTGGAAGCCCTTCAAAAACCAGGTTTTTCAGAAACTGTGATTTAGAGCGTAAGAAGGAGCATGGTGTCTTGAGGTTGGGAGGACCTAAAAGGTATCTCCCCCACAATTTAAAAACCAGGAAACCAAACAATTTGTACTGATTTAGGTTTTTAAAATGTCTTCACGTGCCTTAGCCAGTTTATCTCAGTGGACGGAGAGTCGGCCTGCAAACCAAAGGATCCTGGGTTTGATTATGATCAAGGGCACATACTTGCAGGCTCTTCCCTGCACCGGGTGTGTGCAGGAGGCAATCAAACGATGTGTTCCTCTCATATCGATATTTCTCTCTTCCACTCTCTTTAAACATAATGGAAAAATACTTTCAGGTGAGGATTAAAAAAAGAAAAAGAAAAGAAAAGCCTTAATGTGATTAACTATGGAACCAGACTTCAGCTGAGACCTCCCTGCCCTTAGGGAATAATCCCCTCGAATGGCATTATTCCAAGCTCCTGCGTTCACAAGTGTTTTTGTGTTTGGCTTCCCCTCAACCTGGAAATTCAGGCCCTTGGAGGTCTCTGTAGTTGGTCCTTCTTGTCAAGCATTCCTAGAAGTTAATAATGTCACAGAGTTGCTGTAGGGGGTCATGAGATGCCACGTATTGCCATCTCTTGTACCCTTCCTTCTCCTCTCTTCCCGCCCCCACTTCCTAGCTCCACCCAGGGTCCCTCCATAAGGATCACAGGGAGCTGGCATCTCATCTTCTTGCTATGTATGCCCTTCACTTCCATGGCCTTGGCACCAACCTCCCTCCCCCACCTCCACCCCCTGCCCAACCCAACTTCTACACATCCAGAAGAGTATCCCCAATGTGTGTGTGTGTGTGTGTGTGTGTGTGTGTGTGTGTGTAGGCTCAAGGATACTGGATTGCTAGATTTGGTAAGGAGCCTGAATAGGATGGGAACACATTAGTGATATCTCAAGACCACAGGCTTAGGTTAGATCTGGAAGATATTCTGGCTGAGTCATACATTAGCCCCATAGTTGCCAGATTATGGGGAGTTCTGGGGAGGTGAGGGGTAGGGGAAGGGTAGAAAGTCTGGACAGTGAGGTAGGGGGGAGGATGTTGGAGGGGATCTCTTAGGGGGTGTGGGCCAGCAGCTGTTGGACAACCAGTAGGGAAGTATTCCAATATATTAATACCTGCAATGTTCTTATGGGGACACACAAGCTGCATAACAGTCTTGGGAAGGAGACACCTGGCGTCATAGATACAGAACTTGAAAAATTGGGCCAAGGATAGTCTTTACCAGAAATGGCCTCTTTGCTGCATGCTCTCTGGCAGTTGTCTCCTATTATCTAGGCTTCCAACTAAGAGGCCAGAAGAGCCACCTGGTTTCTGTGGCAACCAAAAGCCAGATACCATGCTGGGGCAAGCCTATATTTCATCAACCAAAGTCTTGTTACTGGTTCCTTGCATTTGATTTCCTTACACTTTCTTTTGTTCCTTCATCAGCAATTCCCGTCAACAAAGCGTCACAAAGCAGCTACTGTGCAGGAGGGGCTAGATCCCACAGGAGCCGCCGAGGACCAGAGGCGGACACAGGTGTGGCCTGAGGGAGTCCAGGAATCTTACAGAGCTGAGCTGAGCTGAGCTGAGAGAGGGAGCAGTGTTCCTCCAAGATCACACCAGCAGGGAGCCCCTGATGTGTAGGCAACAGATGGAACCTGGGAAGGAAATGCTCCTCCCAGAACAGATGTGTGTGTAGATTTACAGGTAAAATTCGATGAACTCAGCTTTCTTTACAAGTTTGAATGTTTTTATGTTGACGTTTGGGATGAAGTTAAACCGCTTACTTATAAATGGATTAAAGTAGACTTCGGGGCTGGGAGTGGGGTGGAGACCACCGTGGAGAGGTAAGGTGCAGTTTGGAAACCACTGGTTAAAAAAAAAAGACTTTCGGTGGCTGGCAGATACCCCCTGCACAAATCACCTCATGGCTTACAGTGGTCAGCAAACTCATTAGTCAACAGAGCCAAATATCAACAGGACAACCATTGACATTTCTTTGGAGAGCCACATTTTTTAAACTTTTCCTAATGCCACTAAATCAAAATAGACTTGCCTAGGTCATGTGCATTGGCCATGGCCCGGGTCAACTTAATAAGTCCACGCAAGCAACGTGAAGAAGCACACTCAAGGGCCAAAGAGCCCCAGGTGGCTAGAGAGCCACAGTTTGCCCACCACTGTAAACTATTGAGCCACGCCGGTTTCATCTGTTTCCCCTCAAACTTTAATTTTATTTTTCTTATGTAAAAATTACACAATCAGCTGGGGCTGCATCCGGACCAGGTTAGCGCCAAGTGGGGGTTCCCAGCACCCCCACACCCTTCGTGCACAAGGACAGATTTGACCACCAAAAGGACAGGACTCTGGGGACCTGAGCAGGTAAAACTTATCAATGATTTGAAACGCCCAGCTCTCAAAGAGATTTGAAATGTAAATAAAGGCAATAAAAATATTAAAATTACATAACTTTATTTGATGAAAGTTTACATGCGTCCATTATAAAATGCAAATAAAAGCACAAGATATAACATATTAAGTAAATAATAATATTTAATACTATATTTAGTATCCTCTAATTAAATAAAAACATAGGAATCTACAACGTAGGAGGAAATTTACAATTATGCCTATCATCCCAGGCGGCTGAAGGATAAGGACGTGTGACCAATGGCACTTAACATGCAGTCACTCCCGGGGAAACAAGGGGGGCGTGGTGACCTTGCCGGGATCCCATCAAACAGGAAGTTAGGAATTTTTCTCCAACAGAACTAAGGGCTCCTCAAGGCTGTGATGTCAGTCTTCCAGGGATGGAGGTGACAGAGGGAGCACTCACAGCCTTTTCAGAATCCAGTCTGAGCACTAAACCCACAGATTTGTTCTCATTTCCAAATAATGCTGGGCTCTCCTAACAGAGTCAACATACATGAAATTCACACTTGGAAATAGAGTCCTCCAGGAAACACAGAGCTCACCACCTGAGTCTTGGTTTTCAAAGTCCTTTTTGAAGACACTTGCAACCCCTGAGTCACACATCGTCTCTCAGAGAGGCCCTGCTGGTCGTTGGCAGAATCCGGAAGGGGCAGAGCTATGCTGTGGCTCCCAGCTCTGCATCTCCTGCCCGAAGAAGAGGCACAAACTCCCATGGCGTTTTCCTAGGAAGGGCTGTGTGCTTCTCCTCCATCTCCTTCTGGAACCGAAGGCCCTGGCAGTGGGGCTGGGACGAGCCATTCCTCAGCTGGGAAGACATAGGCGGCCTGGTAGGCCAGGGCATAGATGGTCTGCATCTGGGCATGCAAATGCCCCCGCAGCTGGGCCAGCTGGGCAGAGTGGTCCCAGCTCAGCGGGGCAGGAGCCTGCTGGCCCTGCATCTGGACTACGGTGTGGCAGATGGCTTCAGACATGGTGCGCAGAGAAGTCACCAGGCTTTTGCGCAGCAGAGGTGGCTGGACTCCCCGGGGCCTGGATCTGGGCTGCTTCCTATGCCCAGGGCTCTTCCTCTGGGCTCTGCTGGGGTGGGTGTCCCCAGGCTCTTGGCTGCAGCTGCTGTGGCCAGCATCAGGGTTCTTTCTTCTCTTTTCCAGAGAGGGCTCTGCTCCATCGCAGGGGCTCTCCCTGGAGCCTCTTTTCCTCTTCCTGGAGCTCTCCTGACTGGAGCAGCTTCCTGCTTCTCCTCTGTGGGTGCTGGTCTCTACAAACCGGGAAGAAGTCTTTGCTTTCTCTTCTAGTGGTTTCTCCTCCACATCTGAGCTTCTTTCTTGTAAGGAATTGCTTTGGAAGGGAGGCTGTTCAGTGGGGCTTTGGGTGGGGGAGCTGTGGGGATCTTGGTTTTCCATTCCTGAATCCATCCTGCAGCCCGAAGGAGAGACCCTTCCTGCTGGCATCTGTCCAGAATCAGAAGTGCCAGTTGGCCTGAAGTGCCTGCCTTTTATGAGCCCCTGGAGGGATGTGGCTCACTCCTATTGGCTGAAAATATTCACCTTCATCCAATCAGCAGAGACTCAGGTGGGCTCACATTCCTGAGGAATGTGGAGGATTGTCAACCAAAGGTCACAGCCACCAATCTTATGCCAATGGAAGTTGCCAATGTAGGGTGAGATACAAGGAGAAACTGTGTTCAGATAAACAGTTTGGAAACCCAGAGAGGCAGGCTCTGGTGGGAAGGCTTGTGTATTGCCCTGAGACAAAGGGGAGGCTGATTTTTAGAAGTTCCCCAGGCTGCTCCAGGAGAGGTCTATTTTCAGCAATTGGTTAATCCAATCAGGCAAAGTCTGATTGGACCCAATTGTCCTGTTCTGATTGGTTGGAATCACATGTTGTGATGGATCTGCTCTCGTTGGTCAGCAAAGATCCAATAGAGACCGCGGCCAGTGTGTTTCAGTGGGTGGAGTGTTCTCAGCCACTTCCTCTCCTTCCCCCCTACCCCCTCAGCTCCACCCTAACCAACATGGAAAAGTCCTAGGTTCAATTCCTGGTCAAAGCAGGTAGCTGGGTTTTGAGTTCATCTGGCCCCATTTGGGTGGGTTCAGGAGGTAACTAATTGATGTGTCTCTCTCACAATTGATGTGTCTATCTTCCTCCCTCCCTTCCGTCTTCCCACTCTCTCTAAGAACCAATGGGAAAAAAATGTCCTGGGGTGAAGATTAACAACAGCAATAAAATTTTCGATGAGAATAAAATGGAGCAGTTGAGGTTACACAGCTCCGTTCCTGGCTCTTTGGTTGAACTATGACCCCAGAAACACTTTTATAAAGTGTTGCCTGAAAAATAATATTAACTAGTAGGTGTTTTGTCACCAAAAAGGACTGGTCTGGGAAAAAGAAAGGCTTGCCACGCAGAGCAGGTAGACATGGGAAGCCACGGGCACACTCAGTCTTGCATGCCAAGGTGGAAGGGTGTTCATAGAAGTGAAAGCAAGTGAAGAGGAGGGGAAGAGAGAACCATGGAGCTTTATTATAAGGGCAATGTTATTCCCCTCGAGTTTAAACTGGTTTCTTAACGTGAAGAAGTGCAGAAACACTATGAGCTCATTTCATAGTTCACACATCCTTGACTTGGGAAAACTTCTCCCTCAATAACCATCCTACCTCATCAAGAAACAACTGCTACTGTTATGGGTCAGTTGCCACATTAATAATAAAGAGAATGATTTGAATGGAACACATTGGCCTTGATCGCATTTAAATATTTAAGATATCACTTAGCACACTGTGGTAGTTCAGCCAATTATCGATATTACAAGCTTTTTAGTAAGATTTCCCGATGAAAATAGCAGTGAGTTATTTCAGAGACCTGGTGCAAACTTTTTAATACCAAAGGAAGTGGGAAGAAGCTTGCTGTTTAACCCACTCAATCAGCTTCTTTCTCCTCTCTCTTTGCTAAGCTTCCCTGGGGCTAAAGAGAAAGGCTTTCCCCTAAACTCTCTTTCATTTCCTGTACAAACGTTTTAGTCATATATTGAAGGAAATATAAGAATTTGGAATAACTTTGTCACTCTGGGAATTAAGCTGTGATGTTTATTTTTTTTCTTCTTCTTCTTCTTCTTCTTCTTCTTCTTCTTCTTCTTCTTCTTCTTCTTCTTCTTCTTCTTCTTCTTCTTCTTCTTTTAAAATCCTCACCCAAGGGTATTTTGCATTGATTTCTAGAGAGAGTGTAAGGCAAAGTTAGAGAGGAGCATCAATGTGAGAGAAACACATCCATTGGTTGCCTCCTGCAATAGCCAGACGGGGGCCTGGGCCTGGAAGAGGCTGCAACCCAGGTAAGTGCCCTTCACTGGAATGGAACTGGGACCCTTTGGGCCAAAGGCCAGCACCCTGAGCCAGACCAGGTGGGGCTAAGCCTGCTTTTCAAGCTTAGTGTTCAGCTACCAAATCCCTTTTCAAATTCTAAAACCATCATTTAAATTATGTTTCCCCACTTGCGCTCTTGCTGAAACAATCTTAACCCTGGGAGATAGATGATGCCTCAGGCTGCCTCCAGAGAAGGGCAAAGGTCCCAAATAGAAAAGGAAAGTAAGTGAACATGTTTAGAATTTCACTTTACAGAGCTCCATCAGTCCCTCGACTTCTACAGACTAGAATTGGCCTGCCTTCAATTCCATGTCTATTTATCTAATCTATCTCTCTTATCTATCTATCTATCTATCTATCTATCTATCTATCTATCTATCTATGTATCATCACTTTAGAATATTTTTATGGATTTCAGAGAGGAAGGGAGAGGGAGAGAGAAACATCAATGATAAGAGAGAATTACTAATAACTGACTCTTGATCCTGTAACCCAGCAGATGCCTTGAAATGAAGCTGAACCACGATCTCTTGTTCCTAGGTCTTGCTCAGCCACTGAGCAATGCCAGTCGGGCTAAACTGGTTTCTTCTCTCCCCCCTCCCCCCCTGCTCCCCAAACTTTAATTTTACTTTTGTCATATAAAAAAGATATAATTGGCTGAGCTTGGCATGCTGAGCCTGTCTCTGCCCTGGGCAGGCTCCGAGGGCACTAGGCCCTGCCTGCACAAGGATGGACTTGACTGCCAAATGGACAGGCCTTCGGGGATCTGAGAAGGTAAAATTCATCAAAAATTTGGAACAAACAGCTCACAAAAGGATTTGATATATAAACCAAGGCATAAAAATTATATGAATTTATTTGATGAAAGATTACATGACTTCATTATAAAATGCCAATAAAACCATACAATATACAATATAGTAAGTAAATAATAATATTTATTACTATATTTAGTATCCTCTAATAAAATAAAATAAAATAAAATAAAATAAAATAAAATACATTGAAATCTATAACATAGGAGGAAATTTACAATTATGCCTATCATCTCAGGTGGCTGAAGAATAAGGACGTGTGACCAATAGCACTTAATATGCAGTCACTCCCGGGGAAGCAAGGGGGACGTGGTGACCTCGCTGGGATTCCATCAAACAGGAAGTTAGGAACTTGTCTCCAACAGAACTAAGGGCTCCTCATGGCTGGGATGTCAGTCTTCCAGGGATGGAGGACACAGAGTGAGGAGTTATAGTCTTTTCAGAATTCAGTCTTGAGCATTAAATCCATAGGTTTGTTCTCATTTCCAAATAATGCTGGGCTCCTAAGAGTCAACATACATGAAGTGTCTCACATGAAATTTACATTTGGAAATAGAGTCCTCCATGAAACACAGAGCTCACCATATGTGTCTTGGCTTTCAAAGACCTTTTTGAAGACAATTTCAACCACTGAGTCACACATTGTCTCTCAGAGAGGCCCCAATGGTCATCTGGCAGAATCCGGAAGGGGCAGAGATCTGCTGTGGCTCCCAGCTCTGCATCTCCTGCCGAAGAAGAGGCACAAATTCCCAGGACATCCTCCTAGGAAGGGCTGTGTGCTTCTCCTCCATCTCCTTCTGGAACCGAAGGCCCTGGCAATGGGGCTGTGATGAGCCATTCCTCAGCTGGGAAGACGTAGGCGGCCTGGAAGGTCTGCACCTGGGCATGCAAATGCCCCTGCAGCTGGGTCAGCTGGGAAGAGTGGCTCTTTTTGGAAGTTGTTTGAAGGAAATCATAATCTAAAATAAAAACGTGTACACGAGTCTATATCAATTAAGTCCCAGAATTATAAAATGATTTTTTCTTCATTCAGCCCTAATTCACTAACAAATTGTTCAGTCCTTCATGAGTTTATTTCTTGACAGTAGATGGCGCCCGTGATTGTCAAATGAGACGAAATTGCCACTATATAACCCACCTCTCCCACTTCTTTCCTTAGCCATTAAAACAAACAAAAAACCTGGTTAAAAAAAATAAATAAAGACTTTTATTCCAATGAAAGATTAAAATTAATAATTTGGGCCTGTCATACAATTGAGCTGTACATGTATATGATCCATGTGTGTTTAATTTGGAATTCTAGGGGAAATCTCCTGGGCTATTTGCATTTTTTTATTAAAACAAAATATAGTAAAATTTAATTATCCAGACATACAATAAATTTAGAGTTCTTTAGACAGCTTTTCTTTTCTGTGCCATCATTTTAGGAAGAGAAATATTAAGAAAATTGTGATTTATTTATATGTATATGACCTTCTAGAGTTCTGAAGATAGCATAGAGGAATGGGCTGAAAAACAAAACGAATTAATTATATGACCTTTGGCATTGTGTGTTCACCACCCAAAGTCCCATATCCTCGGTCAGGTTACTTAAACATAAGAATATAAGTTTCATCATCTGTGAGACTGACATATTTCTTACCTAGTCCCCAGGACCATTGCATGGATCAAATAGAGTAATGTAGTGTAAACACCTCGGGAATTATAATGTTCTATATCCAAATAAGCTTTTATTTATCTTTTCCACATATTCCACCCATAGGTACAATCATGGTACAATGAAAACAGAAATTCGTAAAAGACTCGAGTGTCCAATTTCCTCATTTGTCCACAACACCATTTAGTAATAACGCCTGGTGTACTAGATTCATGTAGGAGAAGGGACTACAGGATTTTCAACCATAAAAGGCATGCTTGGCTTATTATTCAGCTACCCACAGAGTTCAACAGAAGAACACCTGAATCCAAAACATATAAGTTTATTGAGGTAGCCTGTGTGTACCTCCCCTAACTGCTCTCTGCTCCGCAGTAGCATGAGTGCTCACGTATGGAGGCAGCGATATGCATGTCTGTGGACACAGAGTAAGCAGGGCGCCTGAGCAGACAGAGATGGCCACACCCTAAAGACGCCACTTGGAATCCCTCCCTTGGCTTTCCTAAGAAGCATAGACATTCCCTCTACTCTTCCCCCCACCTTTTTTTTTTTTTTTTTACAGCTTTATTGAAATATGTCTGACATATAAA